TTCCCTTCCCTTTCCCTTCCCTTTCCCTTCCCTCCTCTCCTGTGGAAAGTTACCATTAATAATTTCCAGTTCCAAAACCTCATATTTTCCCTTATGAAATGTAAACCAAAGAGCTGATGAACCTTTCTGTTCGTACATGCTGGTGGAGTTAGGGATGGGTGTTATAGGGGTTTTTTTTAGGGTTTTTTTTATAGGTTTTTTAGGTTTTTTCTTAAAAACATTGATGAGACTGGAAGATTCTCTCCCCTCTCTTATTTCCTCCTGTTTTCCCGGAGTCAAGTAAATGTTTCTGTCCCCAGAGGTGCTTGTCTTTATCCAGAAGGGTTATAGAAGGTAACTCTGGAAAGCAAAGGGTCGCTGCATCCTTTGTGACACGGGGGTGGCACGCGTCCTCAGCGCTGAACGTGGCACAGCTGCTCCTTGTGCCTGACAACTCCTGATGGAAATGTTTTGGGCCAGAAGGTGTGGAAGGACCTTGGAGCTCTGCTGAGCAGGAGGCAGCAGGTGGGAAGGGAAATCCCACCGTTTCTCCTTTCCTTGCCTTCCCAGGCGCTCGAAGGGGAGCGCGAACGCGGAGGAGGCCAAGCCGGGCGTGGAGGCCCTGAAGAGGCTGGAGGATCAGCGGCGCCGCCGGGGCGAGAACGAGAGCGAGGAGCTGGAGAAGCTGAAGGAGAAGCAGCAGGAGGCGGCAGCAGAGCTGGACGAGCTGAAGAAAAGGCGGGAGGAGCGCCGGAAAATCCTGGAGGAAGAGGAGCAGAAGAAGAAGCAGGAGGAGGCTGAGAGGAAAATCAGAGAGGAGGTAAGTGTGAAATAGGGAGTTTTGGTTTATTCCATTATTTCTATTTTATTTCCACTCTCCTCACATTAGTTGACAGCTCTTTGCAGCATTGTCTAGTGAAGACCTGAGCAGCATCCAGAGTAGGAAAAAAGGTTTTAATTCTAGCCTTAGGAAGGACAGGGCTCCAATATCTGTTTCCACAAGTCAGGATTTCAGCTGTGATGGCTGCAAAGCTCTTATCTTCTTGGGGATTCAAAATCTTGGGGCAGGGCTATAGCCACAGAATTTTTTTTGACGTTATATACAGATAGAATTACAAAGTGCATGTCAAAATTTATCTGCTGCAGATGGGCTGGAATGCTAATGTTATATATAGTTACAATGGGCTAGATCTCATTAGGGAGATATTCTTGTCTATTTAAATATTGAGTATCCAACACATCTGTTTTCTTGTACTTCCTCTGCCAAGGGGCTCTACAAATAGGATTTCCAAGTCTCTGGTGCATCATTTAGGAATCCCAGTTGTTTGGAAAACAAATGGTAAATGAATAATACTGATAGTATCTGGCAGCTGAATGCCAATTCCTTTAATGTACTGAGCTCTTTCCAGCAGAACTCAGTAGCTGGCAGGATTGCACAACGCCCTGCTGGTCAGACCCACTGACCAGTGCTCACACTGGGGCTGCCTTAGGGTTTCTGGTTTGGCTTGTAGCTGGGATGCAAACTCAGCTCTGAGGGATTTAATCTTGGGTTCCTTGGCCACCTACTGATTTTTCCACGTTAAATATTAACCTTGGCACAATAAGTGTCGGAGTAGAGGGGCAGAAGAACAATACCAGTGTGACACGTGAGAATACAGAGGAATTGAGCTCGAGTCTTTTTCTCTGTTTAAGTGGAGCTACATGACAGATAAATTTGGTGGCTTGACTGTGAGGAGGATCTAGGGCAGATCTAATTGTGTTCCTGGCATCCTTAACACTCTGATGGATTGGCATTAACACCTTTGTACATTTCAGGCAGATCACTGAACTTTTTCAACTGGCATAAAAAGCTGTTTTTGCAAAATCTGGTGAATGTTTGCAGGGCTGCACACAGCCTTGTGATGGTGATGTAGTTCTGAAAGTTCTGATATTTTTTAAGGAGGAAAAAAGGAGGATGAAGGAAGAAATCGAACGAAGAAGGGCTGAAGCTGCTGAGAAACGCCAGAAGATGCCAGAAGATGGTGTATCTGAAGACAAGAAGCCCTTTAAATGTTTCAGTCCTAAAGGCTCATCTCTCAAGGTAACCTCCCCACTGGCATCTATTTAAAAACATAAAAAAAATAAAAAACTACATAAAAAACAATGGGGTTTGTAGTCCAAACCAACAATCCAGCATCAAAAGCAATCAGACCTAAGAAAATGCTTTGATAGACTTAGCCTGAACCCTCTAGCTGAAAGACTTCATTGGGATGATTGAAAATTTAGAGTTCCTTCCTAAAAATAGAGACCAGACTGGCAGCTGTCTCTTCCTGATGAAGAATCTCCAAAAAGGATCTTCAAGAGAAAATTATTTTTGAAACCTTGAGCTGCATTACTGTGTTGGTTTTAATTTATTATAGCAGTGCTTTGTGAGCTGGAGTAGAGTCATAGAATCATTTAGGTTGGAAAAGATCTTTTAAGACCACAAAGTCACAAATGTTCCCTCACTCCTTCCACATCCACAGTTATTTTCTTGCTTGCCAGATTACTTTGTCCTTAAGCATATTCAGCCTAATCATCATTAATTGTAACTGAGCTGTATGGGAATTCTAGCTTATGTCTAATCCCCCTAAAAAAAACATCTAGAAGTACTGGGCTGGATTTCATTTTCTTACATAACAAGAAATACAAACCTCACCCTTCTGTTGCTGCAGGATTTCTAAATGGCCTTTTGTGGCCTATATTATATTAGAAGTGTGATAAATCAATTAAATGGTCTTTCAGCATGGAAGAGGAATCCTGGCCCCACCGAAATTATTGGGAGTATTGTTTTGGAATTCAGTCCAGTTCCTTTCTCAGCTCAAGCTCAAACTGCAGACCTATTAATGTTTTCAAGGACATTTTCCTGTTTTCATTTTGCTTCATTAGTCATCTAAGAATCCAAAATGTTTGTCAAAAAGGCCACTTAGTGGGAGCTAGGAGAGAAAAGAACCAGGTAGCAGCTCATTGAACCATGAACTGGATCTCCATGAGGTTAAAACTGTAACTGTTGAGTGAAAAACTGCATTTGGACAAAATTAGTTTTCCACTCACAGAGAGCTACACTTTGGTCCAATCTGGGGATTCAGGTCTGTTTTGGGTCCAGTTCTAGCAAATTCAGAGTCTAAATGTTTTTGAATGGATTTGCCTTTTGCTTTTAAGACACACTTGAACACTGGAACAGAATGCACACAGCTGTAAACAAAGATTGCAAAGCTTCAGGACTTGCCACAAGTAGTTAAACCTGGTCTTGCCATTTTGGTTGCTAAAGATGATGTCTATAACAGACACCATAAATGTACAGCTTCTTCCCAGCCCTCCTGGGAGGGCTTCCTTTCCTTCTGTTTATTGAGATGCCTTTTATGACATTCATTTGGAGCTTTAATTCACAGAGGGCTCAGAATGGAGGAAATTGTACTTGAAAACACAAAGTAAAAAGGATATTGATCCTAATTTTGGGGAAAGTGTGAAAAAACACCAGACTTGGCAGGAGTCTAAAAGCTTTCAGATACCTTTTGTGCTGATGCTACACTATTTTAAGTCTATTTTCAGAGGAAAGCTGAAATTTTTCAAATGCTATTAGGCATCCAAGGTACAATTTTTTTTTTTCTTTTTTGTGCTGGATTTTTGTCTTGTTAGGTAGAAGTTGTTTGCTACAAAACCTGATATATGCAGCTCTAGACATTTTTTTCCTCTTTCTCTGTTTCTCTCTCTGAGAAATTGGTGATACTCTACAGATTCCAGTCCAGTGTCTGTGGGTGGCCAGTGTAGATATGCAATGCTCTAGAAGTTCACACCCTAAAACTGTTTCTTGGCATTCTGTGGTCAAGAGCTGAGGGGAGAGTGATCTCAGTTTATTAACCTGATGTGAAACTTGATGTCAAAACCCAGTAATTAGCAGACAGTCTATTTTGTTACCTTTAATTTGGACTGGCTTCTCAGGCTGGTCTCAGCTGCTTGGTACGCAGCTTTCTCACTGTCCAAGTTATCTTTTGATTTGTAAAGCATCTGGCACAGGTTTTCTCCCTTGATGGATGTATCATCTTGTTAGATCTGCCATGAGTCATGTGAGAATCCCAAATGCACCGTTGTGGGTGGGTGGTTGGAATTAATACTGAAAAAAGGGAGGTTCAGTATTAAAAAAAAAATAAAAATGTCTGATACATGAGCACGTTCTGACTTCTCCTGGGTCACAATCTGGCAAAGCACCTTTTTACTCTTTCCCTGTCCTTTCTGATGTGATAAGCTTTTGGGAAGAAAAAGAAGTTTATGGGAGTGGCTAGTGTGAGGAAATTTGGGTGTGCTGATTGCCAAGGGAGCTGCAAGAAAAAAGGAAAGAAGGGAGCTAAAGTGAGCAGCAGTGGGGATATTGGCATCCTCTGGATGCTGCACTGTCCCTCAGGCAGGACTAGGCTGGGAGACAAAGATGTGCAGCTCCTCTCCATGTATGACACAGCTCATGGATGCCCAAAAGGAAATATAGATATATATATGTATACAAAACATGCATATGTGTTTATATTTATACAAACCTTCTGGGATTAGCCTCTAGAAATCACAGTGGTGACAAGTCCTGTTAAATAAGGTTTGTTTCCCTCAAACCTGAGACATTTCTTCAGCAGAGCCAGCAGAAGTGGAGTGACAGCACGAGGGTTGGTTCTTTCTGAGGGGACAGTGAAAAGAAACATGCCAAATAAATGCAGGCCAAGTTCATCACTAGCTCAGGGACAGAAGCAGCCTGGATTTCTCAGGGCTGGGTGAACACCCTGTGGGCTGCAGTGGTACCAAACTTCTGTTCAACCTCTGTCCTGTATCTTAATTTTTTTAAAATAAGGACAAAGCTTGGAACAGCCCCTGCTGCTCTCACATCTACCTGGTGCTTGTCCTTTCCTTAATATAGTTGATTCAAAACATGATGCACTCAAAGCATGAAATTTCCTAGAAAATCTTTGATCATTTTGCTTTTTAGAGGAGTTCATTCCTCGTGTTTTCTTTGGGAAGGAAGATTACTGAGTCCTTGTGTTCTATCAGGAGAGAACAGGATATTCCAGTGCTAATTCTCCTCTGGGGGATGAACACCACCCCTGGAGAAATGCAAAAGCAGTTGGGTGTCGAGGGGAGGGAGCAGTGGCAGGAGGCTGGGGTGCCCTGTCTTTGGAGAAAACATCTCCTGGCAAACATGAGCCAGCCAGAACCCTCTGCAAGGCACTGCTGACAGCTGAGCCAGAAGATAGGACTTTTCAGAGACATTCTTCTCTTTAAAGACCTGTCTTGTCCTATCTGATTATTGCTCTCAATACCTGACAGCTGGGGCAGTGACTGGAAGGATTTGCACACAATCTATCCTTGTGGCAGAGGGAAAACAGAACGCTAGGAACAGGATGTGTGACGTTTGTTTTTCCCCATCTTTGATCCTGATGGCAGCACTTGAGTCTGGAAGGTAAACTGAGTTAATTCTAAATTGGCACACTCTGCTGAGATGCTGCTGACAGCAGGAAAAAGCATAACTGTGCTTAATGAAGCAAGAGACTGTGTTAGGCACTCAGGGAGGATAAGGAGAAGCCTCTCCCAGGGACTCTCCTCCAATGGATTCCCACTAGGTCCTTCCACATGTTGGATATGAGGTAAAATCAAAACACAGGGTTTCATTTCTCCCTGTGTTCATTTTTTATTCCCCTTACTCCTTGACACGTTTTTTGAGAGGAGTTTTCTATGGATCCATTTGTGAGTTTCTGTTGTGTAATATCCAATGCCCAGTTTAAAACTCCTAAAAAGGTGTAATACCTTTCTGTGAAGAGTGTTTTACTGGGAATTCCAGTAGTTTTTGTTTCCGAGTCATGATCTCATATTGTGTGTTAACTCATTCTTTCTGGTCATAATTTAATTAGAGGCTGGCAGGTTGATTTTTTTGAGTGTGTGTTCTGAAAGTATTCCATGGTGACAAAACACAGCCCAAGCTTTGAACAAGATCCTGTTAAGATGAACACAGTAAAAAATTATTTTTATTTCCTGGTCTGAAACTGAGAAAACATCTTTTGTTAACCCTTTTGCCTGTTTCTTTTACAGATCTATTTTGTCATACTGTTCACTGTATGTGCCAAATGTTTTATGTTCTTTGCATGGAGTTTGTGTGATGTGCAGTGGGTAAATGACATTTAGGTGTTGCTGTGCAGTGTAAATGCATTTGACTTATTTGTTGAATATACCTGTGCATGGATTTGTTTGCTCCAGGTGTATTTGATGTCTGCTTCTGCTATGTTTTGGGGAGGATATTCCACAATAAATCCTCACACAAATGTGCAGAAGACATTTTATCCCTCTGTGCAAGGCAGAGGGCCTTGCTCAGTTCTTAGGATTTATTCCTGACTATTTCCAGTTTATTTTCTGGTTTTGCTTTTCCACTTTTCTCTTCTGAACAACCCCTGACCTTTTCCTGATCCCAGAGCTGGTGCTCTGAGAACCTCTGTTACCAGTGGGTGAGGAATGACCCCACTTTTGTCCTTTTACTTTACAAGGATGATATTCTTCTTCCTTCCCACCTCTTCCACCAGTGCCCACTCAAGTCTGAGTGATGTTTATGCAGAAGCATCTCTCCTACCTGCACATAAAAGAGAGTGAAGATCCTGTAAATGAATTATTGGGCAATATCCTTGAGTCCTGGTTCTTTGAGATAGTCCATATTTTGACCCAGAAAATCAGGGGAAAATTTCTGCTATACCACAGCAGGCGTGAGGCAGCGTGTTTGAGGTGACCATCCTTGGTCTGTTTGGTCACTTTTGAACCAGGAAGAGAACCATTTAAAGGAAAGGCTGTCACTGCCTTGTGTTAAAGGCACAAATGCCAGAGAAGTTTACTTCAGTTAAAGTAAATTGAACATGGACAGCCCCTGCTGGGACTGGGGAATCCCCAGGAATCCAGCCAAGGATGATTATTAATCATTTCAATCCCCTGGAGCTGCTTGCACGTATTTTACTCTTAAGTGAAACTGTAGAGCCTGGGGTGAGAAGTGGGACAATGCAAGGTAGATAAGACTTGAGGAAGTGTGATGAAAATGTTTCTTGACCCAGAATACAAATAGTTGCACATACTCCCCATTTCCCCACTGTGAAATGTTTTAAAACTTTATTCAGGGATGGATTTTTTGTTTTCAAAGTATTGAGAGATTTGACAGAAGTCATATGAGACCTTCATGAGTCTTCCTCCCTGGAAATGTCACAATATTTTCCTGTTTACAGAGTAGAAAACAATGATGAAATGTCAGATAACAGGTTGTATAATAACAGCTGGTAGATACTGATTCAGGGTGACCCTGCCTGAACGTGAGCAGGTTTACACTGATGGGTGTTTTGGAGCCCAAATTTAAATTGTTGGTGTCCTCCAAAAACAGAGTAAGGGAGGCTTTGTGGCTGAGCTCCAAACCTGGCCTAGTCTGATATCTCATCTCAGAAAAGCTTTATTTAATTTGCTGTCTATATCAAGAGATACATCCTTGTTCTTGTGTGGGAGATGTGAGGATGACACAGGTTTTGGTGGATCTCAATCCCTTCCACGAGGAGACAGACTCCTTCCCATTTCCTCTTTCTGTGTTCTTCATTTATTCTCCTGTTACATGTGAGGCACTGAAGAAATCTGTAGGGTGCAAACATTCATGGAGAAAATATATCCCTTTTTATGAATCTGCAGCATAATAGGCTCCTATCTATAAAACCTTTGTGTCTGTGACATTTCTGTTGGAATGTATCTCTTTCAGATTGACTTTTTTGACATTTGAAATGACGTTTCAGGCTGGCCTTGCACAGGCTGGCTCTTTATTAACTTGAAACTTAAAGCTTTTGTTCCTCTCTTTTTTAGATAGAGGAGAGAACAGAATTCTTGAACAAATCTGCTCAAAAGAGGTAAAGCAAAGAAACAGTAAGTTTATTGCAAACAGTAGTGTTTAAGTGGAGAGAAAATAATTCTTGCATTTATTTTTTTTCCCCATTTCCTATAGTGGTATGAAACCCACCCAGACAACAGCAGTTGTCTCGAAGATTGACAGTAGACTTGAGCAGTACACCAGTGCAATTGAGGTAAGTTAATTCCAGTAAATGAATCTGGTTATTAATTGCTTTGTGGCCTTTAATCGGCCTTTGTTTTGCTGTTCAAGGATTGCAGGGGTTTTTTTTGATCACAACTCTTCTTTAATGTGACTTCAAGAACAAAATGCTTGAGGCACATGTGTAACCATCACCTAGAGGTGTATCTAAACAAAACCTCAGGTTTGTCTTCCCTTTCATGCTGCAATTTACTCTGTTCTGTAAGCTGCAGTAGCTTTGGAGGGTTCAGTCAGCACCTGGAGTGAGTCACATCCTCTGCTTGATGAGAGGCAATCTCTCATCTCATGACAGAGATGTGAGATCTGTCAGCACAGAGCTGGTGGTCATCCTGAGCAAAGCTGGCCTGGCAGCTTATTTAGAAGAACAAGGACCTGGCTCTGCGCTGCTGGCTGCCACCTCACAGTGAAATTCCTTGGCAAAGACATACTCTGCAGAGAAATGCAAAAGGGATGTCAAAAATCACATCAAAATGCAGAATTTGTCCCCAGGTAGTTTTGGCAACTGTGCCTAAGAGCCAGAACTGAGAGCTTTTTCTGTCCATGCTCCAAGGTCAAATAGATTGATGCCACTATATCCAGCTGCCATCTGACCTGAGATATTTCTTTGCTGAGCTTCTGATACATCCACAAGTTGCCAAATCTGACTTGCTTTGCAATTAGAGAGGCAAAGCATCACTCATACAGGTTCTTATTCTCATCAAACCTATGATATGTAAAATGTGCAAGAATTTTGAAAAGAAGGAAGAGGGCGAATTTGGCCTGGTGTTTTTAGTAACCATGCAAAAGACACATTTCCCCCAAAAAACCCCCAATCCCCCCTCTGAAAGAACACCTTGTTTCAAACACACTGTAATTGCTGAGATGCACCCCTGGAATGCTGAGGCTCAGTTTTCTGGGGCAGATGGAGCAGTGTGATGCTGAGTGACAGAGCAGCCTTTCCCCCTGCCTCTGCAGAAGGATTTCCCTAGCTCAGTCCCTAAAAGAGCCAATTTTCCAGGATCCAGGTGCTAACTATGATTTTAAAGCCTTGGGGAGTTGTGTGCAGAGCTAAGGTTTGCCATGGGTTTTAGGAAGGCAATAAACGCAAAAATAAGTGAGCCAAAAATAAAATGTTTAAATAAATATTTAATTTTTTTAAAATGAATTTTTTTAAAAAAGAAAAAAAATAAAAAAAAAAAAACCACTTTCACAGCTGGGTGAACACCAACTGGCAATTCTTCCCCAGGGCACAAAGGCTTCAAGACCAGCTAAAGCTTCTGACCTTCACGTTCCAGCTGAGGGTGTCCGCAATATCAAGAGCATGTGGGAGAAAGGGAATGTTTTCTCTCACCTTCTGGGACAGGAACACCAAATAAGGTATGTGTTTAATTAAACCTAGTGATTATAAAGCATTATGCTCTGGATCTGCCTTGCTGTTTGTGTTCCTCTGAGTGAGCCAGCCTGCTCCTGTTGATGTCACTGCTGAAGAATATCCCAAAGGATCCTGGAGACCTCAGAAATCCACAAGATGGTGTGGCTGCAATATTAAATATAATGGAAGAATTTAGTGACCTACTGAGCTCAGTTATGAGACATTCCAGAGCCACATTGGATATCTTAGAAAAATACATCTGGGGCATTCAAGCAGAGTACAAAGAAATTCTTTGAGTAGGGAAAATTCTTTGGGGAGCAGAAGTGATTTGAATAGGCAGGATAGGGATGATATTTTCTAGATAATTCATAGAAGTATTTGTGAGGCCTTTATCTTTTCTTGGAAATCCTTAAGGCAACATTTTCATTCTGTAAATTGATGTGAGTTGCTGAGCATTTATCAAATGGCAAATTGATGAGCTATGGATTGAAGTGGGTTATTACAGACAGTAATTACATTTTATTGATTTGTTGTCGCCTTTTAAAGATTTAATGTTTTAAATTCTAGGCCGTTTCTTAAAAGTACCACTGTGTGCTTTTTAAAAAAAATTAGTTTAACAAGAGAAAAAAAGTAGATTTGAGCTGATGTCTTCTCTTTAAGCTAAAGATTTTTGGAGTTTGGGTTTGTGGTAGAAACAGCACATTTATTTATTTTATTTTATTTTATTTATTAGTCTGACATTTATTACTGGGGTAGCAGTAAAGTGAAGATGGTTTTGTAGGATTTTTGAGACCTAGAGGGCAGCAGCACTGTGTAATTCATGGGGACAATACCTTCAGGGCACATAGGATGTCTCTGAGCCAGCCACAGGCTCAGTGAGGACCTCTCTGCTAAACTTGGCTTTACTTTTAAATCCAAACCATGGTAAACAGAGCAAAAACCATTCTGAAGGTGTTTTGACTGGATTTTATCATTTTGCAGGAAACTGCTGGACTGAAGGTTGGTGTCTATCAACGTGACCAAGCCCCAGAGAGCAACAAACGAGCTCTGTGTCCTCTTGGAAGCTCACAGAGACTCCTTGGCAGTCAGAAAACGGGAAGAGGAAACAGGGAAGTTCTCACCTTAAAGCTCAGGGAAGCAGAGGATAACTTTAACTCACCACCTGTGAAAGGCATTTAGAATTTACATTTACAATTTAGAAATGACCAGCCACAGACCCCAGACTGCACACTTGCACACACTTGGAGTTTGGCCCTTGCCGTAAAAAATCTTCCAAGTATGTCACACTGGAATAATTTAGTTCTTTCTGAGCCTAAATGTACCTCCAAATGAAGGCCCTTTAGCCTTCCCATTAATTCAGCCAGAATCAGAGCAGAAAATACTGTGGAGTATTTATAATAAACTCATTATTTCATTATTATCACTCAGAATGTGGGAAGGAGCAGCAAGAGGTGACTGTGGGGTGGGGAAGGGTAAGGATGAGGAACCAGAATGTGGGTGTCCATATTGGAGAATTGTTTCTGATGTTGATGATTCAGCTCCAGGATTTTGTCTGATCTTCTCATATCCTTGTGCATTGTTTTTCTGCCAGTTCACCTGCCCTTTATAAAAAGTGCAAACACTTTCTCAATTCACACTCCTCTTTGTCCTAAAGAGGAGTTTGAAATTTGCAGCGTGTTTTCTTTTAAGTGCATCTTTTAGACAATGTAAAACTAATCTCTTGTTTTTCCCTCAACCAACTGTTTCTATCTATGTCTTAATTTCCTTCTTTCTCAATAGATTGCTCTTTCTTCTTTCAATGTCTCTGCTTGAAGGATCACGCCCTCCTCCTATTCTTCTTCTTTGGGGGTCTGTTTGCTAAGTGGTCAGGTAAATCTGTTTATAATTGACTATGAAGGTTTATATACATCTATAATGTGTGATTTTTACTTTTTCTTAATCAGAATAAATCAAAGAGAAGCCCAGAATTTCATATTTAGCAAATAACTTCTCACCCCCATCACATTCTGCCAGAGTAAAGAAACATTCAAAGTTTTTGTGACCATCAAGATTCTTGTGGGGTTTGAATATTGAATATTTGAATTCAGGGCAGAGCAAATATTTCAGTTTTACCATGAACCTAAATCACAGATCACAAATCATTTCAGGACTGTGGAAATGGGTTTGTGATGGTGTCCCCTGCAAGGGGCTTTGTGATCAGGTCAAAGCTGGCTGCTTTCCTCCTTCTTTTGTTAATGACCTCCCTTTTTAAAGTGCAGAATTGGCTTCAAGTTCTGATCATCAGCAACCCTGTGTGGCTGCAAATTCTCACCAGTTCTCTGCAAAATACCCCTTGCAGGAACCTCATTTCCACTCATCACTGAGCATTTTACAGGTAGAAATTCTCATGTGCAGAAAACTTCCCTCCCTACATCCCAGGATGGCCAGTAGGAAATCCTGGAGGCCGTGCAGGACTGGAATACTTGCTGAAAAGGAGAGCACTGATGTCCAAAATTGTTTGAGTCTCTTATTTGCCATGCACAGAGGTAGATATCAATCCATCTCCCCAGCAGATGTCATTTTCATTTGCAGCCCTCCTTTTCCCAAAAAAATAATTGACATTTTTATAGAGTTTTGGTTAAAGTCTCCATAATACACTCATTTTCAGAGAATACTACTATTCTTTAATGACTTTACCTCTGTTTTGGTATGTTTTTTCCCTGTCAGGCTTGTGATGGGCACATCCTAAGGTTGCAAAGGATGCAAGGGAAATTAAAATGAATATGAAGGACTACAGTGATAAGTGCTGAAATCTGTATTGAAGGATGTAGGATCTGCTTTTCTGTTGTATTAAAAGTCTAACTCAAATTTTTTTCACATTTTAAAATAAATAATTTTTTTTCAAATAAAATGTTTTGATTTTGATCTAAAATAACCAAGACAAGCTACATTTGAATTCCTCTCTAGCAGAAGTATTGTTCCTGAGAAAATGTGGGTATTTTTCTGCAGAAATTGGATTTTTTTGGGTTTTTTTGTAAAAAACTGATGGTGCAGTAACTCTTCACTGCACTCCCTAAGTTGAGCATACTGAGTAAAGGCCAGTCTGTGCCATATGAAATAGATGCAACAGAATTGTTTTCTGTCTCAAAACATGGATGTGTTTGGAGTTATTTTGTGAAATATTATTCTTTATAACTGATAAACAATGTAATATTTACCTCTAGTGGATGTTCCTCAAATTCTCTTGTGAGGAAGTGGCATTCTAACCTTTTCTGTAACAAATGAAAATAAACCTGAGCTAATGTTGGTTTCTGTTCTGTGACATTTAAAATACAGGATTTAAGACCAGGAGATGTATCTGGCAAACGCAATCTCTGGGAGAAGCAGTCAGTGGAGAAGCCAGCAGCTTCTTCTAAGGTAAAAACACTTCTGGGAAGTGTTGAGAGGAAAATATTCTGTTCCTCACCCACCTTTTATCTAGAGAAAAAAGCACAATGAGGTTCAGAAAGAAGTGTCTGGCTTTTATGTTCCTGTTTGGCTGGTAGTCCAGCTGGGGAAAAAATCAGAGACTAATGGTAAGTAATGCCCATTGCCTGTTCTATAGACTTTATATTATTATATAATATTTTATATATATTTATTATATATATATTATATTATATTATATTATATTATATTATATTATATTATATTATATTATATTATATTATATTATATTATATTATATTATATTATACATAATATTATATACTCTATTCTAGTATATATAATATAATATATTAATATATTATATTAATTATATATAATTATGCAATTATATATTCACATATATTGATATATATATTTACATCATATATAATATCATCTAGAATAATAATATAATATAATATAATATAATATAATATAATATAATATAATATAATTAATATATAAAGAGAAATAAATATATGAATATGTTTATATATTAATATATTAAATAATAATGTATATTATGTAATATGATATTATATAATACATAGTATAATATATATTAATACATATTATATATAATATTAATACTATTACATACATATTACTATTATACTATTATACATATATACTATTACATACTATTACTATTATAACATACATAAATAATAAAATAATACATACAATATTTGATGATATATATATATAATAATACAATGCAGATATTTTAATACTTATTATTATGTAGTACCATTGCCACATTTTTGCACAGGTGTACCTGTATTTTATAATTCTGCAGCTGTTCATGTTGATGTCCAAAACCCCTTTTTCCCTTTGCCTTTCACAAATTCCATTACAATGTCATTGGAACATGAATGGCTGAGAAACTGCTTTTGCTGGAGCTGTGCACTGGTGTTTTCTTTGCTATTGTCATTTTTAAACCACTGGTTGGTGAAGACAACCTAGTTAATTGTCCTCTTTTTATTTCTATTTTAACCTAAAGCACTCCAAATACAGCCAATTAAACTAATTTTATGGCTGAGAACCAGTGGGGGAGAATGGAAGTTTGCTGACCAGTTTAACAGCTTTAAGGATGCTTTGCAACATCAATTCTTTACTGAGGAAAATGATCAAATATAGAGAAACTCTTGGTTTTCTACACTTTAATGTGTGCACACACATTTTTAGTGTTTTTATGTAAAGCCAGAGGTATGGTATACCTGTGAACTCTTCCTTTTGGTTTAGAGTGGTGCAAAGCAGAATTGTTTTGCTCTTCTTGTCCTTTTTTAAACCAAAGTGTCAGGGGAGAGGATTTTGGGCTGGCTCAGGGTTAGTGCAGCCGTGTCCCCATGGAAAGTGTTCTTCACCCACAGGAGCTGTCCCAGGGGTTTGGGCACTGCTGAGCCTCTCCTCAGAGGCTGAAATCTGATTTTTGTCCCTCTTGGGACCCACCTCAGAGCAGCTCAATCCATGAGCAGAGCACACCCACCCCATATCCTTACCTGTTAACCTTTGAGAGAGTGAGCTAAAAGAGCTGTGCCTTTTCTGTTCTGGAGATGTGTTTGGGTTCCTTCAAGCCATATTTAATCCGTCTCTTTCTCAGCAGGTTTGAGACAATTTGAGAAAGAACCATAGGAGGCCCCTAAAGACGCTGGACCAATCAGTTTGGGAGAAGAAAAAAAGAAAAAAAAAAGAAAAAAAAAAAAAGGAAAAAGTGCTAAATTGTTCTTTTTATATTTATGTTTATTTACCAAAATGTCTTTTTTGCATTATCCCAGTTAAAACCATGTATATTAGCACTGTATTTAATAATCAGTCTAGACATTCATCAGAATAGTACTGCCTTTGCACAAGAGCCTTTATTCCTAAAGAAACCCATGCTGTGAAATATATAAACTCTCCTACTGACACTCATAAATATGTATCTGAACAGTGATTTCAGCTGGCATTTGGTCAACCCAAAAAGCATGTAAAGTAAAGTTGCTTGGGAAAGGTGTGCAGTAAACCTATAAAAACAATGGTTGCTTTTGTAAAACAGAGTCTTTTTTTTCTTTCTGCACTTTAGACTAAGGCATGGAAGAAATATCTTTAGTTGACAATGTAATATTTTCTGTAAGTTGCCCATGTCATGAGAAATACTGCATCAATAATGTTTCCATTCTAGTTTAAGTTAATACCTAAATTTGGATGATTATGTTAGCTGACAGCGGTACTGATATTTCTTTTTGTTGTTAGTGACTAGTAATGGAATGCAATCTAGAATATATATACACACATAGCTTTACAAAGTTTAGCCTAAAGGCACTACTAATGGTAGAATGCTTTAATATGTGCTAGAGTATTATATTTAGCAATAAACATACATAATTAGCCAATATCACAGCTTAAAAAAAAAAATAAAGACAAAATCACAGACTTTTCTATAGTAAGATTTCGTAATTGTCAGTAGAGGTATGGTGAGATAAGTATTAAAAAAAATTTAAATGTCAGTTGCCCAGAAATGGGTAATTAAAAAGAAAGTATAGTTTTTAAAAGAGGAAAAGGTAAGGGTATAGAGGGTCAAAAATAGGTCACTTGTATAAAAACTTGTAGCTTAATTTATATAAAACCACCATAATTAAAAAGAAAAAAGATGTAAAGAGAGTTGGAGCTGGTTTCAAATGACTGTACACTAAATCTTGCCATCCATCAGTGCCGTACACCAAAATGAAGTAAACCTCTATGATGCTTCTTTTTACCTCTCTCTCTCCTGAATACCTTATTTACAGATGTTTTTGTTTGTACATAGTAAATACTTGGCTGTAAGACATCAGCTTGGTTTGGATTTACATGCCATACAGTTTAACATTGACATCCTACAGAAGATGGTGGCATAAACTGAGCAACTCAAGTAGCCCCTGAGCAAATTGTGAACAGCTTTGCATCAGAGCCCCCCAGGACCTCCCTTATCACCACTTCCATCTCCTGCAGCATCTGGATTCTTCCTAAAGAAGTGTAATGTTCTGTTTCAACCCAAAGCTGGGCTCCCTGCTCGGCTGCAACATCTTGTTTACATGTGGAGGTGCACAAGTTTTCTGTAGGGGGTGAAACTGTGCCTGGCATTGTCTGGAGTTGTCATGGGTTTCTTTTTGTTTGGGGGGGTTTTGTGAGCTCTCCTAGGAGTCTTTCAAAAAACATCTGATGGCTGCAATAAAAACAATTTGTTCAAAGAAATGTATTCTGAAACTGCATCTGCAATAAATGGAGTATTCCCATCAGCAGCCCCCTGGTTGTCAATGAGTAGGGATGGACCAGTTGCTGTAAGTGGGACAGGAATTGTGCTAATTCCCTGTGAAATAAGGTAAAGAACCCCTAAGGGTGTCTCTCCTGAATGCCACAAACCAGCTTGGCTTTGGCCTAGCAAAAATCAATCTGAATATATTTTACAGCAATTTACTGTCAGCCTGTCTCAGGGTTTGCTCTGGTGATTTTGAAGGGTTTTTTTCTGTGCTTTCCTCAGCTTCAGTCTGAGTGTAATATTCTGGATGCTGCCAGCAGAGTTGCAAAAAAAAATCTAAGTTTATATTTGAGACTCCCAGTCTGATGTTGGAGGCAGCCCTTACATTCATCTGGCTGGATTTTACTGTGAATTATCCTTGCCCCTGTTGCTGTCTTCAACCTTCCCCACTAATCACACAAGAATTCAGTTTTTTAGGTATTCAGAGGAAGGGCTGTGTGGGGCAACAATGACAATTTTGTTCTTTAGGTCCCAGCTACAGCACAATCCTGTTTTGAACAATAAACCACAAAGTGATCTCTATCTCCTGTCCTTTTACAAAAATTATAGAAACTTATTTCTATCTGTATTAAAATTTAGAAAAACATGCCAAACTATATAAAACAATTTAAGGACTACACTGATCGATTTTTGTTGTTGATAAAACTTTATTCATATAAAATTTTAAAGCATTAGAAATACACTCTGTAAAAATCACAAATATATAAAAAGCAACTGTTCTGTGACAGTGACTCATGAGCCACTGTGTGACTGACCACATGGAGGTAACATATAAAAAACTCCATGTAAGTAGCTAGTTTTTTGTTAAACATGTCTCTAATTAAGGAAGACCAGATAAAAAGGAAATGAAAAGACACCTTATTTTTACTATTAATCAAAACCAGATTTCTGCCAAGCATCTTTACAAAAAATCCCACCCTTTTTGCTGCATTCTTACATCAGTTAGTGCTCTCCTCCTTAAAAAAAAGGAGGAAAAAGGTGCTGCCCATAATGATTATCAAGTAGAGAAGAAATGAAGGTCGAGCTGGAGAGAACACCTGATGTGGAAGGAGTTAAATGGAGGTCTTGCAGGAACCACCTGCATTTAATACTCTGCTTTGAACGGGTAGTCCTTGTGGTTGACAGCTCTGAAAAGAGAAGGATTTTGTTATTCAAGTAGCACAGAAAGTGTTCTGAGCAGCATTTCCCTGCCCCACTGCCAAGGTGATTGAGTCCTGCAGCTGTCATTAAATAAAATCAAACACAGCCTTGTGGAAAAGCCCCTCCAACACCAATGTGCTGGAGGGAGCACTCTCCAAATGGATCTCTCTCCTGAATTTCCAGGACATGCCTCAAAGTTTAAAATATGATCTCTCCCTGGTCTTGGTCATGTATGTGTTCAAGACAGGGGGGATGAAAATACAGAGGGAAACAGGACAAATGGATAGGAGGGATAGTAAGGAACCTACTGGACCACTGGAACTGCCCTCCAGTTCCTGTTAAAGCTGAGGATGACATCCATCTCCTTTTTGGACAGTTCAAAGTCAAACACCTAGCAGGGAAAGATAAAAAAAGAAACAAAACAAAACTCTTTTTAGTTAGATTCATGAGTAGTTAGCCACTAAGTGTGCTTCATGCACTTAGGACTTGAGGTAGGAATGCATTAAGCAGAGTTGAGCAATCTCTTATTTCTCAGGCAAATAACAACCCTTGAAGCCACCAAAACAGTTCTTTTCTTTCTGAGGTGCTGTTCATGGCAAGGTCTCACATTTCTGGGTGGCTGAATAACAACACCACTTCACTTTGTGTTGTAATGCACACAGAAAAGTTTTTAGGTGCTCAGAATGTGTCACAAATACTGGAGGTAAATTTTCTGCGGTAAGAGAGGACTGCTGGGTATCAGCTGCAAATAACTGTTTAAAAAAATCACAGTTAATCATCTAAGAGCTCTTGCTAGGGGTTCATAGGAGAAATGACTCCTCCCATGGATTAAAAGCAGCACAGAGGATGTAAGATGCCACACCTGATGAGCAAACATCCAGCAAACTGCACTGCCACAGCCTCAAAGTGAGACAAACAGCACTGGTGGTCACAGCTTGTTCCTTTACACCCTGAGGACTTGCTAAGCTTTCCCCCAAACCTGGGGGTCCCTTTCTGCAGCAGCAGCAGAGCTCAGACCCCCTGGTGTAACTCATTTCTCTCCCAGCACCCAGTCTTCAAATCCCCCCTTCACACAGAGAGGCTGGGGCATCAAACCAGGCAGCAGCATCTCCAGACTCCTCAACACGGTGTGGCTTGTCAGACTTGGGGCAAGATGTCTCTTTGGACCAGAAAGCGGATCAGGACCTAGGAAAGAACAAGGAGGAGCACAAACAGTGTCCTGAGAAATCTATTCAAACACATTCTGTGGATTTTTTTTTTTTCCTTTTAATTACAATTTTTGGAAGATCACAGGCTTGCACACAGGACTTTGACGTGCCAGGATTTGCTCACACATTTGCCAGCAGACTGGCAAACTGTAATTTCTTCAAGCCCACATTGTGGCTTTTGCAGGATTTGTTTTGGTTTTGTTTAGGGTAGTAGCAAGAGGAGAAAAATTATGATGCTCTGGTTTGTATTATGTGAGTGCTCAGACTCAGTGAGCATAATGATGCTACAGATTATTTTGGGCTCACAGGTAAGTATCTCAAGGCCTGTCTGCCTGTCTTAGAATATGATTGTCTTTGATGGCATGTGAACATGTGGCTTTGTTTCAGGTGCTGCTTCTGCACACCCCAGGCACCAACTCATTTGTGTGACTAGCAAACTAATAGAGAAAAAGGAAATCTTAAATAATCAAGCAGCTTTCAATAATTCTTTGTGAACACAAGCAGGTTGGAGCCAATCAAATTACAGGACTGTTCTGAAGAATGACTTAGCTGGAGAAAGAATATAAATTTAGGAAGGGGAACCTGAGAAAGCATTTCTGATCAGTCCACCCCAAAACTTGGCACTCAAGCCTCCTTGAAAATAGCTGATGATTTTTTGAGGGCTGTTAAGAACTTGGGCAGAAGGAAGAGTCAAGTCCGCCCACACCAGAAGTCCCCTGGAGTAGAAAGGTGATAGCTGCCCTGTAGCATCATGGGACATAATCTGCATCAAGACAACAGCCTCTATAATTTTTATTTTATTATTATTATTATTATACTATTACTATTACTATTACTATTATTATTCATCATCATCATCATCATCATCATCATCATCATCATTTTATCATTATTACCACATTATTATAATTATTATAATAATATAATGAAAATAATGATGATGATAATAATGATTATTATTATATAGTTAATATTTCAAATGATATTTAATATATAAAAGTATTATTATAATTATTATAATGATAATAATGATAATGATAATAATAATTAATAATAATAGTGATAATGATAATAATAATGATAATGACAATGATAATGATAATGATAATGAAAATAATAATAATAATGAAAATAATAATAATGAAAATAATAATAAGAATAATAATAATAAGATAATATTTAATAAGATAATAATAATAATAATAATAATAATAATAATAATAATAATAATAATAATAATAATAATAATGATAATAATAATATGAAGTGCAGTGTTTTGTGTGAAGAAAGGCTGCAGTGCTGTCTTACCAGGGGCGATTAGGAGAGCCCAGGGGGCTGTAGGCAGTCACAGCCAACCCTTTGGATTTACAGTACTTGACCAACTTCTCCTGGGTCAGGTATGGATGACATTCCACCTGCAGGCACAGGAAGATGGCTGATAAAGAGGGAGACTTTGCTGAGCTGCAGAGCTTTACATTTTAAATCCTCTTGGATCACAGAAAATGTGAAGACTTCGCTTCCAGTACCATGATTCAAATCTCTCTAATGAAAAAGTTATTAAAGTCACAGCAGCATCTAGAGGCCTAGCAGAGAACAGAGCTTTCTCATGCTACATATTACCCCCAGAAAGCAAAAAGCAGACAAGAATTAAAGAGTTTTATTCGTGGAATCTGGGAAATGAGCCTCCCTGGACTACTGCAGGGCAGGATTCCTCAGGCACCCAAGCTCTTTCCTCAAAGAACCTGTACCGTGGTTATCTCACACCTGAGCTGCTGTGGGGACATCCCTGGGCATTCCCCACCTGGAAGAGTGGGAATTACATTCAGAACCCTCAGCTGAGTGCAAAGAAGAAAATCGAAGGTCCCTGAGCTGCTGCTGTGCTGCCATCATATGTTACATAATCACATAATTTGTTATGGAATTGTACTCTTCAACCTCCTTCCTGTAATGGAGTGGTTTATTTTATGTCAAAAAATTAGTAAGCCTAGTAATAATAATAATAAATTAATAATAAATTAGTAAGTCCCATGCTGGTGCAGGAACTCACAGTAGAGATTTTGCTGGATATATTTAGGATTACTCTAAATATATATTGTATAAATTATTTATATAGGACTGTATAGTGTGTTTATATTTTGTATGAATTTAGGTGTCCTCTAATTATATATATACACACACACACCTCTCTAAATATATTGAATACTTCTAAATGGAAGGCTCCAGCCTCATGGAAAGGGGCTGGATCTAAATAATCCTTAAAGTACTTTCCAATCCTAATCCATTCTATGATTCTGGACTGCAAGGTTAGCTGAGGAATGGAAACAAAATGCTCACCTGGTTCATTACAGGTTTGTGTTCAGTCCTGGCTTGTTCAAGATTCTTTCAATCTGCTCATGGTTGAAGTTGGAGACAAATGTTTACCAGACCATGGTTTGGTATTACTGTCAAACTACATTATTTTATTTGCCTCAAGCTCCTGGCAAATGAATGAACAATTCATGCTAGATTAGATGGCATAAAAGTACCTCAGTTAATAAAAGAGAACAGACTCCTAACTGCACAAACACCCAGTAAATTAACAGCCACACCTAGATTAATCTAAAGGGTTGGTTCTACCTTTTCTGTGAAGTATTTCAAGGACAGCACCCACAGTGCTGACAGTCCTTCTCTTAAGCCTTACTAAAAACATCCCCTTCTTGCTCCCCAAAACAAGAGATACAAGCAACTCTCTGGCTGAAATACAATTTTGTGTGGCTCTCCTTCATGCCCAAACATACCCCTCAATTTCATTTTGCAGGCAGATCTCTGCTCCACCTTTTCTTCTCTATGGACTCACCTCCCATGTGTCCTCCAGGCCTGTTAAATTAAAAATAATACATGATTTTTAAGTGTTGAATTTCCTATGGTGTACCAGCACTTGGACTGCATTTACTGGCAGCAAGTTGTTTAAACATGTTGCATAACTAAAAGTGATGCATGTCTGTTAGTATTCTCTTTTGGGTGAGGGCCACATTTCACAATATCAGTGCCTGCATGCAAGGGTGTGGGATTAGTAATAATTATGTAACTTTGGCAGATCTGGAGAGAAGGGAACAGACATCCCCAGCCCCTTTGTCGCTTTATTCAGATGTAGATTGGGGGAAAAATTACATTCCTTCTGGCTGTGCTTCATTTTTTCACTGCTGTTTGCTTCAGACCAAGCCAACATCCCCAAAAACCTTTGTGTCCATGCTGTAACCACCTGTGCTGGTTGCCAGAAGACCCAGGGGTGCTCACACCTACATCACAACCCAAAAGGCATGAAAAGCCAAACTCCCATGCTAAAACACACCACTTTTTTAATGACCAAATTCTTGCTACCAGCAGGATCAGGGGAGAGCCAAAGGAACCCCACATGGCAGCAGGGTAATGAAGATGGTCACAGCAAAGATGAGAGAATGCAGCGTGTTCCTGGGGGGCTAAGGGAGGAAAGGGGTGGAGAGCAGCACTACCTTGAATCCCATGGGGAAGTGCATCAGGTAGAGGTCGAGGTAGTCCAGTTGGAGGGCAGCAAGGCTCTTCTTGAACCCCACCTTAACCATGGACTTCTCATGGAACGTGTTCCACAGCTGTGGGAAGAGACGAGCCCGGCTGTCACCGCACAGCTCCCACAGGGAACCCAGGGGACAGAGGGACACACACTTGGGGGTCTGGGAGGAAAACTCCCTCCCTTTGATAGGACATTGTGGCTGGGTTCTTTTCCCCCTTGGACTGAGATTGATGAGAGAGAGGCAGTTTTCTCTTGTTTATTCTTCTCTAATCTATATTACATATATACAAGGCACAAGGAGCTACATGCACTAAGATAGAAAGGTGCAAAATGGCCAACAAAGATCTCCTTCAAGGTTTTTTATATGTCCATTTACCCAATTAACAAATGCCAAGTTAATTATTGTTCTTAGTGACCCAATGACCCAACACCTGTGAGCTGCACTGTGGCATTTTCTATCCAATCACTCATTACTACCCAAAAACCTCTGGAAGAAGAAGATGAAGAAGAAAGAAGAAGAAGAGACAACACCCTAAATCCTCCATCTTGTCTTTTGTTTTCAAACTAATTTAAACCTTTAACTTTTTTACCTGGTGACTTAAGAAAACTCTCTAACTTACTCACACTCTTAGTTTTTCCATTTAACAGTTGTTTTCATTGTGTTATATGAAATTCAGTGTTTTCTTGGATGTCAGAGCCAGGTATCAGAGATAAGGGCACACACTCTGTGCCTCTGACTCCAACACTTCCCCACTTAAGTCAGCACATGCTGAAGATGAGGATGGAGCATTCCATTGTTAAAGCAGGACAAACACTCCACAAATCCGGCTGTCATGAAGGTGGAGTCAGGATTCCCACTTATGAGAAGATATTCTCAGATATAAATGTAACACTCTGTCAAGTGCATGGGACACAGCAAAGCTCTTAGCAATTATTTTTTTCAGCCTAAATTTTGACTATTGAGTAGCTCCTTCTGTCCCTTTTAAATGTCCACACTGAGAACAGTTGTCAATTTTACTTCATTTTTGAAATCAAAACTGAAGTTGTTTAAATAGAAGAATGAGTATTATTAAATGAAACCATGCTATTTTAACAAAAACAAGGCTTAATGTGGAAAATCTTAGTTATACTCAAAGTTTTCTGGTTTTGCTGGTAAAAACACCAAGTGGTAAATTTATTAGTTAGTAAAATCCTTTTAGGTGAGGAGAACTTCTGGAACAAGTGGGTGAGATAAAGGAATGAAGAAAACACATATAAAATGCTCTGATTTCTGTTCCCTTTCAGGATTTGTATGTGACACAGTTTTTAAATGTCTTGCTTAGCACTGATGAATCCAGACACTGGAGGGGGGGTTTGTGCATTTTTGTTTTTTTTTTTTTGTGGGATTTTTTTGTGTTTTTTTCCCCTTATCTTCCTTGGGTGTGTCCAATTGAACACCCAGAATAATTGAGTTAATCGATGTGAGGAAATTATTAGATCAGTAATAGCTGTGATATCTTTCCTAAGTTGTCAGCAGTCCTGATAAAGCCAAGTCCAAATACAGGGTGGGACTTTTAAGCCACAACAAGAAAACCACAAAGTGAATATCAGAGAAGGGAACTGTGTTACTTTACAGGTACAACAGAGATTTCTCTGCTAGAAAAGCTAAATGCCCCAATAAATTTGCATCCTTGTACCTTAGTGACAATGAAGAGGTCTTCCCGTTTCACAGCTCCCTCCTTGATCTTCTGCTGGACCGCATTCCCAATTTCATTCTCATTCTGGTAGAAAGATTTTCGCGGGGAGCACAGAGCAGAAAGGAGCTTGTTTCTGCAAGCCATCATCGATTGCCCAGCTTTCTCATGTCTGTGATAGAGTACTAAATTTGATCAGACTCGATTTGA